ACAAATAACTGCGTCTTTTCAGTAGACGCGTACTACATGTATGCGCATCACGACCATGTTAAGGGTATTCAGAACAGGAAAACTCACAAAAAGGGTATCAAATTCACTCAGGGCGTAAATTAATCCAAGACCACCAAAGGCCATGGCCGTGGAAGCCCTTTTGATTGGCCTCAACGCCCCTCTCATTGGCCTTGGAGATTTTGTGTGCCCTTTCCAATTTTTCCCATTTGTACTGTACTTAGGAATGTGCCCTACAGAAAAGTGGACTTGCCCTAAAAATATTGAAATTTAAGGCCTGTTCACTGGTGACAAGAAGACACTAGATAGGGTAGAAAAATTGAAAGCTCCGGTGGGGAGAAGAGGGTCGAAAAGGATTTTAAATCACATGGAAATAAATGATTAAAAGAAAGATATTAAAAGTAAAAGTGAGGATAAGAAGATGGACTTTTCCTTTTTGGCTAAAAAAATAGTCTACAAAGAAAATGCCATGCAAGATATAAAGTCTAAAAATCAGAGATGTTAGATGGGTTTCACTGTATATATAGAGATCAAAAGACTTCGACCCTAACTTAGAGAGCTTTTCAGAAAGGGATTTACAGGATGATGTACAGTGCTCAATGTGACATGCATGTTACCTACACAACCCCCCCCCCCCCCTCCTAGTGTTCACCCACATGAATAGAGACCTACAATGTATTATTGTAGTACATCACAAGGACACAAGGCATAATGTATGTACATTTGTATTCAACTTAATCAATAAGCATGAATCGAAGAAAAAGAGCCTTCTCAACCTTGTGCATATTCACTTTTATTCAGCAATTTTGAGCGAACGGCGCTCTGTATCATAAATATTCATATTTTTGGCGCCGCTACCGCACATTATACTTTCTCATTGCCATGATGAATCGACAATACAACATGGACGAATCATCGGGTTAGGTTGGAAGATGCCCAGAGGAGTCGAAAAAACATTGAAAGTCAATATTGAAAATTTCAAATTACTCCTCTTTAAAAAAAAAAAATGTTGCAAATCCGCTGAATCGTTCTAAAAATCTGGCTCTGGAGCTCCGACGCCTTTGGCATTGTAACTGTAAGTCAGGCCTAAAATAAAAACTTGTTGTATTGGCCTTTGCGACCTACCCAAAAATCTGAAAATCTACGGTCGGCATTTAAAAAAAAAAAAATTATTTTAAACCTTTTTTTAGATTTTTTATAAATAATGAATAAAAAAATATTTATTTTGTTTGTTTAAATGGGATATTATGCATAAAATTAAATTATTCCAAAATTCTCATTTGTGCAAACCATGGATAATTATGAGGTGAAAAAGATATCAATGGAATGACGACGCTGAAACACATGTATTAAAGCATTAAAAACTGAGAATTATCAGCCAAAAGAGGGCGGGAAAAAACACAAAAACATTCAAATTTGAAAGAGGGCGACAATAAAAATTTGAAGAAAAAAAAACTTTTCTGACCGACCGACTATGTTTTGGCACCCAAAGGGCAATACAACAAGTTTTTATTTAGGCCTCATTGTAAGTCGTCAGAGCTCCCTAGTCTAGAGTTAACAGTAGTGGCGCTGGTTCGAGAATAAGGATCGTCTGAATGAACGAGGATCGCCTTCGTACAGTGTAAATGTGGACCGATGCGTCCTCAAATATAAGGATCGTCTGCATTTTCGCAGACATTTCATATTTTTGATTGGCGCGCTGGCGATGCAAAAAAACAGATTCCGCAATGATTTTCTTGATGCATTTTACATGGACTTTGTACAGAGACTTTCACATTATGAGCAATAAATCCTCGGGAAGACGGACAACCCATGAAAGTAGACGTGAACTAGGGTTATATTATACGCCGAATCCATTTTTTGCATCCCTACTGGGCGGTTCGGTAATCCTAAACCTGCAGAGTGTCGATTTAAAAAAAGGCCGCGAAAATGCAGATGATCTTTATTTTTGAGGACGCATTTCTTCCATGTTTATGAGGACCAGTGCCGCGCGCCCTACTGCTTAACTCATATTCAGTAGAGTCTACCATACCAGTCATCATAGGATGAAATGAATCATCATCTGTTCATTTTATTCAAAACCACACAAAACATGATAGACCTAAAGTTAGACTAGATCTAGAGTCTAGACCTAACTTTTTGTTAGACCTAATAGTAGATCTAGTGTTACATAAATCATAAAGAGACTGGTTCGATTTTAATTTGATTACCTACCGGTACATTGAAGTAGGTCTACATTGTCCACGAAATACAAACTTGTAATAGACCTAGACTATAGCCAGATCTATGTTTAATAAATAACGATATAAACCTTAGCACCTCGGCTCGAGTACCGCGTATAGCGGTCGGCTTAACCCTCCCGCCTACTTTCGGCGATAACACCGATCCTTCACCGCTCACCTGTCGATTTGGGCTTTACAGAATGGGCATCAATTGCAAGACGAATCACATCCGTTCTTCCACTTTCAACTGCTATTTTTACTTGTTGAATGGTTTCTTCCATACGGATATGAATTTCTCTTAATTAATCAAAGATTTGAATGAAAATTCAAATAGTATTTTCTGTTTTGTGCATGCCAAACAAGCTCAAAATTCAACCAGGATGGACCAAGAAGAATATACACGGCCACGTACTGGTGGAGTTTAGTCTACTTTCGAAGTTTCATTCATTATTTGTTGACAGAACAACGTGGCAATAGCCAATATTGGTTTCTAACAAAAAGTATATGCATCATAAATGATTTATATCCATTTATAAATATATTAAAGAATCTCTAGATATATTCTATTATTCTGTTGAGACTTTGTGCAATACATTGTGAACATTCATAGCTTCCTATAAAAAAAAGTATTGTTTACAAGACTAACCATTTCGTATTACGCAATGGCCACGCGTAGGCTCCACGGGGCGCGCCCACAGAACTCTTAATACGTATTTAAGAGTTCTGTGGGCGCGCCCACGGGGCAGGGGCAGTTTCCACGGAACTCTAACACGCAATGTTGGCAGTTCCCCCCAGTGGTGGATCTAGGGGGGGGGGGGGGCAAGCCCCCTCTCCTGGCCCCCAAAACAGGTAAATTTAACATTTGGTAATAAAAAAGAAGAAGACGGGCCCCCTCCCAATGCCCAAGGTGGGTGGGGGGGGGGGGGGGGGGGGCTGGGTGTTGAGTAAAAAAAAAAAAAACAATTAGTGCTCCTAACACCTCCCCCCCGCTTTTCGCTATTCGCCGGAATTCGGCGCTAAATATTTTCTCACGAATTGGGAAAAAAATTATAGTGCTCCTTCATCTTCACTATTGTAAAAAGAAAGAAAGAAAGAAAATAGAAAGATATAGACCGACAAACTGAGGAGACTAAGAAGAGGGAGAGAGAGAGAGAGAGAGGAGAGAGAGAGAGAGAGAGAGAGAGAGAGAGAGAGAGAGAGAGAGAGAGAGAGAGAGAGAGAGAGAGAGATAGAGAAGAGAGAGAGAGAGAGAGAGAGAGAGAGAGAGAGAGAGAGAGAGAGAGAGAGAGGGAGAGAGAGAATTCTAAGGATTACCTCCATGGTTACTTCTAATTAAAAAACACATGTAGTCTCACTATGAACATGACAGACAATGAAAGCGGACAAAATATACAGTTCCTCAGGTAGACAAAGGAACATCCCTTCACTGCTATTATGTACAAATGTGTAGAACAGGTGAATATGCATGTGACACCTGTTCTACACATTTTTACATAATAGCAGTGAAGGGATGTCCCTTTGTCTACCTGAGGAACTGTATATTTTGTCCGCTTTCATTGTCTGTCATGTTCATAGTGTCTACAGGTCTCCATAGGTCTTCGATCTGTATTCCCAACTTGGAATGGTTCTTAAACCATCGATATCGATGGTATTTACTCTATCAGGAATGTTGCCCTTTCAAATTCCTAATTTACTGTTGTGCCATGGTGTTTAATCGGGGACACTAATTGGTCCAGTATTGTTTTCTCTGTATTTAAATGATATGCCCAGATGCTTGTCAGATTGTGTTATATCCTTCTGTTCTAATATCAACCCTGATATTATTGTAAATAAATTTAAGAATGATTTAGTAAAAAATCTCATCATGGTTAAGAAGTAATAAACTGATTGTCAAAATAAATAAGTGTGAACTTAAGTTGCTTGGATCTAAAGAGATAAAATATTTTTGTTGAAACTCACCCTTTGTGTATTAATGATACGATTATAAAACAAGTTCACTCCTGTTAATATCTTGGTGTCATATTGATGAAAAATTAGATTCGAATGATCTTGTTGCATATAGGCCTATTCATGAACAAATTAACGAATTTAATTGATAATCAAACAGCTCTAACTGTATTGTAAATCAATTGTACAGCCAAATCCTGATTACTGTAATGTTGTTTGGGGCAGGCGCGTACGCAGGTGGGGGGGGGGGGTTAACCCCCTTCATTTTTGTTTATGTGTATGTTTTGGGAAAACCCCTCCCCCCCCCCCCCCCTTTGAGTTTAGATTTTTTTTTTTTTTTTTTTTCAGCGGCTGGCTGAGCCCTTGCGAAATTTTTGGGACCAAAAAAAAAAAAAAAATGTCCTCTTTAAGTTTGTCAAGATATGGAACAGCTTATGATAAATAGACCCCCAAAACGGGCCAAAAACATATTACGGCAAACGGCAAATTACTTTTAGAAGAAATCATGAAATAGTCTTTCATTAATTGAACTATTAAAAATAAAGATTGATCTCAATTCAGAATGATACTTTTTTTAATGTGATGTAGATCTACACTGGAATAGGATAAAAAAAAAAAAAAAAATCACGTGCCACTGACTAGGGGGTTTCGCCCATATTATGTGGAGAAAAAATGATAATAATATTTGTCATCGTCTGCACCACACCCGGCGTACCATGAACCGATGAATATATTCATTGAGTAAATTATATCTCTTCGTACCGCGTATCGTAAGCTAAATAAGCTATATAATTACACGTACGTACAGTAGGCCTACGCACATGGAATTTGTCAAAATGGAGCAAAGCACGCAGTCACAACCGACAAAAAGGAAGAGGGCCGGAGTCGCAAAAAACAGGAAGAAGGCTTGGAGAAAGCACTCAAATATTAAAGATGTCGAAGATTTTATGGATGATCAACGGATGCAACTTCGAACTGGGTAAAAAGTTATATCGTAATATAAATCCGGGCGCTAATGCATATATCGCTCATTATCAGTCCCACACGTGTACAAATGTGTCAGGTTTTGTTTGGTGTCACTAAAGAAATCATATAGACTCTAGTCTAGGCCTAATCCAAAAAGATTCCATTGTACAATTTAGTTAGTAAATATATAAGTACATATATCAGTACAATATCTATTGTCTAGACTGTTTTACACAAGGTACCTAAATGTGATTCCATCATCACCATTGGGAGTCCTGAATTTAGAGTAAAGGAGCCCGTTTTCGGCCACTTAAATTAAGACAAAATCCTATTTTTAGGACCCTTTACTTCCTTTGTATTATCATTTTGTGTTCAAATCATGAAGCAAATATTATTATTATTTAAACAAAAAAAAGAATCCCAGAAAAAAATCACGAATTGCCATGACAATATTCATTTCAATTTTCACTGTTTTGGAGCCAGTTATCGGCCGAGCGTTTCAGTTTACGGCCGCATGTACAAAGTCAATAGGAAGCGCTCGCGCGCGCCGTGCGTTTCCGCGCTGATGTACAGCACAAGCGGGCGGAGCAGGTATCCCACGCCGGAGCTCCCTGGTGCTCGCCTGGCCGAAGACAGGCACAGCGGTGATCGGAAGTTGGAATCTGAATTAGACAGACATATCGTGTGTGCGTGGCAGGGTCCGCGTCCGGCTGCATTGATTTAATACATGCGATGAGATACTTTTGAGCTTGCGACTAACACAAAATCGGGCTCTAAATCAGAAAAATACTTGAAATAAAGCTGATTTTATGGTACCCATATTTCTTACATACACGCGTAAGATACTCGATTTTTCAGATTCGGGTAGCTGGACCGCCGATTACATCGCTAAAATGTGATATTTTAGGATATATTTTTCATTACAAATGTGGTTCTTCAGTGACACTGGCATGGTATGGTATGAGTGGGATATGTGTTATGCTATTATGCGATGTATTTTAGAGTGATTTTACCTTGCATCCAACCAATCGGCCGAAAACTGGAGCAAAACTGGAGTACTAGTTTTCGGCCTGGCGAGCTCCGGGGAGCTCCGGCGTGGGATATCTGCTCCGCCTGCTAGTGCTAAAAATCAGCGCGGAAACGCACGGCGCATGCGCGCGCTTCCTATTGACTTTGTACATGCGGCCGAAAACTGGTACGCTATGCTGAAAACTGACTCCGAAACAGTAAAAATTGAAATGAATATTGTCATGGCAATTCGTGATTTTTTTCTGGGATTCTTGTTTTGTTTAAATAATAATAATATTTGCTTCATGATTTGAACAAAAAATGATAATAAATAGGAAGTAAAGGGTCCTAAAAATAGGATTTTGTCTTAAGTGGCCGAAAACGGGCCCCTTTACTCTATGCGTGCGTTGATTGCGTAACTTAAAGGTGAAGACCAGTATTGGAAACGCCCCAATTTCAAAAAATGAAATGGAAGCTCTCATTACCAATCATGTGAAAGAATATGTTTTGACTAATACATGATGATAAAAAATTTGCCGGGAAACCGCCTACTAATTCATATATTTGGTAAATTTGTTTCTCTCATGGTCTGTGAGAGATATAGGGTAGTCTAATGCTGTAGCCGAACCGCCGAACCGAACGGAAGTTTGCCGAACATGGCACTTCCGAACCGAACCGAACCGAACCGAACGCAAAGGCTTGGTTCGGATGTTCGGCAGAAAAATGTAAACGTTTTTGCAAGCTAATAAACTTGTCATTTTGTACCTAATTTTCATGTCATGATTGCTCATTTTATATTTACTTTTTTCCCATTTTCCGCCTTTGTGATTTATGTCTATCCAGTGGTGGGCGCGACTTCACTGGCGCCATTTAAATCCCAAATCCTGACCACGCTACGTCGCGATCGCAAGCCATAAACAAGAATACATGTGCATGATCAAAACATGTTCAGCTCAAGCCCATTCAACAAAAAAATAATATTTTAACTGTAACAATATCGGACAAATTTTGCAATATAAATAATGAAATAAATATATATTATAGTATGGTATTTATTTATTAAGGAAAAATAGGGATTTTATATTTTTCCTATTGAAAATAAAAACTTATAAAAAACAGTTATTGACGAGCCTGATTTGCTATTCAAGATGGCATTTTTCATGACTCTAACATAAGCAATGATTAGACAACAACCGTCTCGGAAAATCTTTAAAAAATATCGACAAATTGAAAACATGATTCTTTTAAAATTGAAAATAAAACACGATTCAAGACGGAAATACGAATGTAAGTAGTACTTTTCTTCACAAATAATTACGTTTAAAGCAGTTTTTGAATGTGAAATTCGTGCTGGTCGTAAGCAGTGTGCAGAAGTCCTCCGTGCTGGTCGGGCCCGGCCGGCTAGCCGGCCCGCCCAGTGCCAACCACCGTGGCTATAACGCTGCTTGCTATTATATTACCGAACCCCGAACCAAACCAAGTTCGGGTGAAAAATTGCCGAACTCTGCCGAACCGAACCGAACACGAACATAGCGTCTGACTTACAGCACTAGGGTAGTCCCATATACATCTTTCTGTGTATAGTGCTTGTAACTTTACGAAGAATGGGCCAAATTTCTTATCATTTTGATGATTCCAGAACCTTGCAGATGCTAGATGCTAGATGATCAACCTTTTCTGATCGATTCCACAACGTTTCTTTCACAATGCAATCGCATGACCATAACTGGTCTTTACCTTTAAAAAGAATGCAGAAGCCAAGGCAAAGTTAGGAATTGGGGGATGGAAATGCTATCCGCTCACTTATCTTGTATGTGAATCCTGTTTTCGTAAACTGACGTGATTTATGTTACAAAACGTTGACCACTGATGTTAAATTTGCAATTGTCCATTTGATGCTAAATTTATAAAATTGGCTAAAGTAGGCAAATTCATGCAAAAAAATATATTCAAAAAATTGACTTGAAAACACATCAGACAATTAGTCTGAACCGAGTCAGGAGCAAATTTGAAGAAATTATATTTTTAAATGTTGTAAAACCAAAGATATAAGAAGAAAACTGACCAAGTATGTGTACTAAAAATCGTACATGTAAAATTGGTCGTAGACATTCGACAGCTGAAAATGACGCGCACGGTTGCGTTACGTGCGTTCTCGAATCCAAAATCATACCTCACACACACACTCTCGCCATACCGCGAATGGTCCGTCGTGGGGAGCTAGCCGGCTGAGAGTTTGCCCAGAGATCCAACGCACCTTTGGAGCTCCGCAGCGCGCCATTTTAGCGGGACTCGGAAAGGTTCCCGGTGGGAAGGCAGCGGCCTAGCTTTTTGCCCAAACAACGCTAGATCGGCTGCTGGCAACATGAAAATAACTACGATCGAGAACATCGTCGGTTTCTTAACTTTTCAGTGAGATAATTCTGAATTCTAATTGAGACTATATAATAAATTAAATCGACAAAGAAACCTCGGTAGAACTCTTATAACTATACAAATTAAAGCTTGTTTATTTCTTCATTTGACATTTTGTTTTCGACCATTTTTTCGTGCGCGATTCAATGCAAACTATGTATTACCAAACTTTCAACACGCAAGGAACGGGGAACACTCGCGGACCTCGTATCAAATTTGTTGCAATAAAAAATTTCAAGGGTGATTTTGAAGCAGTGAAGAATATTTGCGCTGCGATGCGCAGAAATATACTTGAAAGAAACTTAAAAAATCATACCTGAATTTTCAGAAAATCCTATTTGTATTAGCGAACCTAGATGTGACTTGTTTATAACTCAGATTTTATGAAGATTTTTTCCGTTTGGTGGTCATTTCTAGGCTAATATTTAAAAAGTTACTTCAGTAATGGGCCCGATGTTTCTCTTATCATACTCGCATGTTATTTCTACATAGATTAAACATAGGATGGTTAAGGGTAAGACCGGATAACATTATAAAAAAGATATATCCTTCCACCCTCCCATATTTAAGTTTTGGGCTGATTATTGCCGACCCACCGCAGCAAGGCCATTCAGATTTTCGTACGAGCGCGAAGCGCCCTCTAGTGCCCCATGAATGTGCCTAGCTAAAGCTAAATACCAGTTGTGGTCATGCGATTGCAATGTGGAAGAAACGTTCTGAAATCGATCAGAAAAGGTTGATTATCTAGCATAGATGTACTGCAAGGTTCTGGAATCATCAAAATGATAAGAAATTTGGCCAAGTCTTTATAAAGTAAGAAGCACTGTACACAGAAAGAGGTATATGGGACTACACACACGCGCATGACACATGCATTTCATATCTCTCAACAGGCAAGAGATACACTAATTTACCAAATATATCAGTTAGTAGGCGGTTTCCCGTCAAAATTTTTATCATCATGTAATATTCAAAACATATTCTTTCACATGATTGATATTAAATAAGAGCTTCCATTTCATTGTTTGAAATTGGGGCGTTTCCAATACTGGTCTTTATGTTTAATGCTTTTTCAATTTCTCTTTCCAATGATATTCTAACTGTTTCTTGGTCTCTTTTCTGTTCTTCTTTTAGTGGTCTGATATCAGAGAAACCAGATGAAAGTTTGTTCTTTGTTGACAATAAACATCCTCCACAAGATGAAGGTGAGTGTATTCAACTTATTTCACTTCATTTCAAGGTCTCCATGATCTGAAAGTTCATCATTTGAAAATTAGGTTAAATATTTGATGAGGTGTAATTATTATTCTTAATATATATATTTTGTTTACTCTAGAAGGGTTATGCTAGCGTACTCTCAGTCTTACAAACTAGTATTGCCCCTTTTCTAATTTACATGCAGTATACTAGAGTATATTTTTATGCCTCCGTTACGAAGTAGCCGGAGGCATTATGTTTTCGGGTTGTCCGTCCGTCCGTACGTCCGTACGTACGTACGTACGTACGTACGTCTGTACGTACGTACGTCCCGTTCTCGTGATCGCGTTATCTGAAGAACTGGTTGATGGATTCCTGCCAAACTTTGGTCATGTACGTATCTTGTAGAGCCGATGAACTGATTAGATTTTGGGGTTACGAGGTCAAAGGTCAAAGGTCACAGGGCTCATTATGTATGCAAAACAAGCTCGTGATCGCGTTATCTGAAGAACTGGTTGATGGATTCCTGCCAAACTTTGGTCATGTATGTATCTTGTAGAGCTGATGAACTGATTAGATTTTGGGGTCACGAGGTCAAAGGTCGAAGGTCACAGGGCTCATTATGTATGCAAAACGAGCTCGTGATCGCGTTATCTGAAGAACTGGTTGATGGATTCCTGCCAAACTTTGGTCATGTATGTATCTTGTAGAGCCGATGAACTGATTAGATTTTGGGGTCACGAGGTCAAAGGTCAAAGGTCACAGGGCTCATTATGTATGCAAAACGAGCTCGTGATCGCGTTATCTGAAGAACCGATTGATGGATTGCTGCCAAACTTAGGTCATGTATGTTACTTGCAAAGCCGAAAAACTGATTAGATTTTGAGGTCACGAGGTCAAAGATCAAAGGCCACAGGGCTCATTATGTATGCAAAACGAGCTTGTGATCGCGTTATCTGAAGAACCGATTGATGGATTGCTGCCAAACTTAGGTCATGTATGTTACTTGCAGAGCCGATGAACTGATTAGATGTAGGGGTCACAAGGTCAAAGGTCAAAGGCCACAGGGCACATTATGTATGCAAAAACAGCTCGTGATCGCGTTATCTCAAGAACCGATTGATGGATTCCTGCCAACTTAGGTCATGTATGTTTCTTGCAGAGCCAATGAACTGAGTAGATTCTTGGTTCATAAGGTCAAAGGTCATGGGCTCATTATGTATGCAAAAATAGCTTGTAATCACAATATTCTGAGAACCTGTTAATGGATTACAATTGAACTTGAATTCGAAAAATTTCTTCTGTTTTGGTTTGTAAAATTGCTCTATGACGGAGGCATCATTTTCGACTGCGCGCAGTGAAAGTTCCATCTAGTTAATATAGATCTAGAGTAAAGGAAGGGGTAATCGACCAGCTTCAGTTTTCGGCCGATTGGTTGGATGCATGATAAAATCCCTTTAAAATACATTGCATAATAGCATAACACATATCCCACACATACTATACCATGCCAGTGTCACTGAAGAACCACATTTGCAATGAAAAATATATCCTAAAATATCACATTTTAGCGATGAAATCGGCGGTCCCGCTACCCGAATCTGAAAAATCGAGTATATTACGCGTGTCTGTAAAAAATATGGGTACCATAAAATGAGCTTTTTAAAGTATTTTTCAGATTTAGAGCCCGATTTTGTGCTAGTCGCAAGCTCAAAAGTATTTCATCGCATGTATTAAATCAATGCAGCCGGACACCACAACGCACACACGATATCTCTGTCTAATTCAGATTCCAATTTCCGATCACCACAGTACTAGTTTTCGGCCTGGCGAGCTCCGGGGAGCTCCGGCGTCGGATACCTGCTCCGCCCGCTAGTGCTATAGTTCAGCGTGGAAACGCACGGCACGCGTGCGCGCTTCCTATTGACTTTGTACATGCGGCCGAAAACTGGTTCGCTATTCCGATAATTGCCTCCGCAACAGTAAAAATTGAAATGAATATTGTCATGGCAATTCGTGATTTTTCTCTGGGATTCTTTTTTTGTTTGAATAATAATAATATTTGCTCCATGAATTGAACAAGAAATGATAATAAATAGGAAGTAAAGGTTCCAAAAAATAGGATTTTGTCTGAAGTGGCCGAAAACCCCCTCCTTTACTCTAGTGTAAATTCAACTTTTTATTTTTTGTTGGTAAGTTTTTTAATTTGTATCTGACGAGATCTGACAAGACTAAAGTCTATTGTTTTCATAAAAAGGAAATGTTTGTAATGCTTTCATGTATGAATAGTATTTGTCTTTAATTTTTTCTCTAAGGCGAGTCTAAGAAGAATCTTGAGAAGCCTCTTAAGATCGATAGGAAGTTGATGCCAGACCCTAGGATACCAGTGGCTAGAATGTAAGTATGAAGAGATCTCATTCTGGGCATTTTCATTGTTTTTATAGAGACATATATCTTGAATACAAGCAATACAAAGTGGATTTATCAATAGTATCATAACCTCCAACTCATGCATTTTTAATAATAAGCTATAAAAGATAATGAAGACTAATTTAAATTTCATTTAATATAAACAATGGTCTGTTTTAGAATGGAATTATCATGTTTGTTTTAAAGCATTGAGTATTATTTTTATTCTTGACTCTAATGAAAATCATACGTCAAGATGAATTATATCTTTTTTCAACACTATTCTAAATTCTACATCATAGATCAAGGACACCAAAGTCTTCAGAGAGACCGAAGCGCAAGAGTAAGCTCGTTCAAAGACTAGAAGAAGAGGGTAAATGGGGGCCATCATCAACAGTCAAGAGAAGAAAACTGACAGCAGCTTTGAGAGACAGTGATAAAGCAGAGAAAGACAAAGATGATGATCAGAAGAGGAGAGAATGTGGTAGAGCGGTATATGATCTCTGGGGAGCTCCAGGTATGTTTTCATTGCTTGATTAAGTGAGATTTGATGTCAGTCAGGAATATGAGTTCACACTCAATGTTACATATTCCAAATTCTAATTAGGAATAGATAATGATTGTAATAGGAATAATAATTTATAAAGATACTTATGATATGTGCACTACATTTACTCATGTTTAAAAGCACACAATATATATATATCTTATCCTGATTTTTCATTTCCAAATGGTCTCCGAGATGTAAGTTCACAATATGTAGCAGTTTAAATAAAACTCAGATGTATTATTTCAACTGATAACAGGAAACAGAGATTGATTTCCCTCTTAATTATTAATGGACTGTTGCTAAGTTTCAACTCCTATAGTAAGCACTATACATGTTGACAGTACTTATTTCTTTGTTTATATTTTGAAAATGCAGAACGTTGTGTGAATGAGATTACAGTTATTACTTTACCATCTGTGTTTGATTCCAGTGCCTGCTAAGACGAAGACAGAAGGAACACCGAATGAACACTATCTCAGGGTCACTAAGAAGACGAGGAAACAGGTTGGTTTAACCTACTGAAAAATGTTACCATTCTTCTTCTTGTCCTTTCCGCAATCGCTGTGTTTAAATATATACCACCATATTAATTACCATTCATTCACACTATCATTTGTTCATCTTAGGCTAGTTCATCTGTCCACTCATCTATCAATTTAGTCTCCCCTCTGTGAATGCTTGTCATTTATCTGTCGGTTATTTCATTTTCCTATTATTTATTTAGTATCCATTCCTGACTTTTCCAGTATCTATTTAATGAATTCTTCCATCTATCCAATCATTCATAAATCAACTCACTCTTCCATCCATTTATCCATTTATAATCAACTCACTCATCCATCCATCTATAGTTCATACATCTATAGTTTTATACTCATACATCCATTTATCCACTCAACCACAAAGTCATCTAGTTTATCTATTTACTCATACAGTTTTAAAATCATATTATCATTGTATTTCTGATTGAAAGATGTACCTTTCTACTTTTTCTGTGTACCAGTACTTAGCAATATCTTGCCAAATTTATTCTGCATCGTTCATGATGTCAGCTATATATTTATAAATATTGAAGATTTACGTAAGTTGATACCACACAGTGCATCATCATTCGTTATTTTGATTCTGTGAATTTATATTAAAACTAGCCCAATTCATAACGGTAAGATCTAGAGTTTTGGTTATATTTTAATTTATTTTTGTTTTGTTTGTGCTACATCAGGTACCAAAGACATACTACAATAAGACTTCATGTTTCAATGCAGTAGAAGTTGTGTCAGGAGGAGCATCCTATAACCCAACCTTTGAAGATCATCAGGTATGTTTCTCTCTTCTTCCAATCGGCTCTGCCATTATAAGCTTATATCTATCCTAAAACCTGAAGCCCGTAACCCAAATTTTAAGTGCATTGATCTCTTAAATGTGTCCATTACTGGATGAATATTATCACACGAGGAGATGCTTGATGCTTGTATCCAGTTTGTGTAAATATCCTATTTGTATGCTGAGCTGAATGTGGCTTCTTCCCGTGTATAAGTCAGGTGTATATTGGTCAGGTGATACACCCAATTCACTTAGTTTATTACCTCATTGTAGGTAGCATAACTTAGGCCATGCCATTGACATTGATGTTTGGTATAAAGCCGTTTGATGTTTTCATCATGAAGAAAATAGCAAAATTTCCCTCATGTCTCACAATGTCATGTCAGTGCTTACTGCAGGGCGTAAATGCACTAAAATTTATTAAAATGTTCAGCTATTTATTTTTCAATCAATTATCTTTTATTTGGAAGCAAGTTTTATTAATCGGGGATCTGCATTTGTTTAATGATGGTTGTACATTTCTACAGTCAACCACTTTAGGTTTAGGTAAGTGGAAAGATATTATAATTTGTCTAACTTGATTTCTATAGGAACTGATCCAGAAGGCCATTCAAGTGGAGCTGGATATGGACAAGAAAGAAGAGAAACTCAACAGATGGCATCGCTTTGCTAAAGTTAGCAGAGCAGAGATGGAGGTAATTCTATTTACAGAATTCACAAGTCTTAATGATAATAATGACATTAATAATCTAGATTGATATACCTAGTGCTTCGATACAGGCACGATGTCAATAAGCAGCTTACAGGTATATTATAGAAACAAAAGATAATCGTTGTCGGAATTGTAATAATGGAATAATAACTCTTGTGACCATATTGTAAACAAATATGAGACAACGTTATTTTCATTTGTGGTATTAAACAAACTTGTCTTTAGTACCGTAGAGCACGCATAAGATATGAAGCCTTGAAGTAAGAATCTTAATGTGATGAAATCAGTCATGAAAACTAAAGCTGCATTTGATTGGATGCTAAACATGTGGTTATCACGAAATAATGTGGGATCATAATCCCAATCATCCTCGTATTTGTATAAGTCTTAAGTGTATTAGTATTCTACCCTTATAAAGTGATACATTTGTTCTTTTAACATTTTGTTGTGTGATACCCTAAGCTTCTTTCTTACTTTGTCATGACAGAGAACTAGTATGGCAGAAATGACTGAAGGATTGTTTGAAGATGGACACAATCCAGAAGAGGAAGCTAAAGATGATGGAGATGATGATGTGTTGCCTAGTGCTCCTGTTGTTGCAGAGAGGAGGAAAACAAGAAAACAGAGAAACAAAGAGAAGCAAATCAGTCAACAGGTAAAATCTAAGAATAAGTATACCATGTTATTGTTTATATTGTATAATAAAGAGGAATTCTTCTTTCACTGTTCATTCATATAATGTTCTCAACTATTAGTTTATTAATTTATTTATTTATTAATATTCATTTCTGTAAAATGAAAAGGTCAGAGCATTGACATCAGTATTGCATGTTTCATACTGAATTTTATCTCTCCATCAGACGAAGAAAGCCCATGCAGAGAAAGCTGAAAAGATTCGTCTGCATGAGGTGTATCGTCTGAGATCATTGAAGAGAGAAATCAAGGAGAAAGAGGAGAAGATAGCTACTAAGATCAAGCAGAAGAAGGCTAAAGCACAGGAGGATGAAGGCAAAACTAAGCGACTTGGACGCTACAAGTATCCTTTTCTGAACTACCATTATCAATGTTCAGTGAAATATACCAGTATTTTACTGAATTGGTTATACAGTGTATATTCTTTTCAAAATAAATCATCAGTTATCCCTAATACAAATGCATGATGTAACATTGGTCATGGTTTGGGCCTTTTCTTTATGAGATAAAGGCTGTTTTAAAAACTCAAATACTGTCAGATAATTTTTGGATTCTTGAAAGCTTATTTATTTTTTAATTTGGATAATATAGTGGTTTGATATTGCACATTTCTACAGGATTTCAAGATATGTACCATTACTTTCCATTCTTTATGGGTCTTTTATTTGATATGTCTAATGGTTTATTTCCAGGTATACATTTCTGTAGAAACACACCACAATTCAATTATAACTAGTCATCTCCAGGATTGGTCCAGGTAGGATTGCCTACTCAGCTCTTTAGAATGTTTCTGTTAGTGCTAGCATTTAAGGTCACATAACACAGTGCATTATTGTGTACAGTACCCATTTTCCAGTCATCCAGTGTCCACTGTAAGTCTGTTAATGGTGCGAATAAACAATCATTGTGTTTTTGTATTAACAGACTGATTACATTCTGATTGGGATTACTCTCCAAGTCTATAGACAATCAATTACTTTCCAGGCCTGTAGAAACACACTGATTGACAGTGTCTCTTTCTCTAAAACCTACACGTTTCCTTGGCTATTGTTCTTGACTGATTTGACTCAGATATGAAGAGCTTCCTATACCAGTAAAGCTTTCAGAGCATCTTGTTGGGAACCTTAGACGACTCAAGGTAAGACTGATCAAGACATCCATCTTGTAGTACCGGAGGAAAATATTAGGATATGATAAGATCAAGTACTCTGCATTATTATATGAGACGATTAAATGTTATCATTTTAAATTAAATGTTTAATTCAAGCTTGTATTGTATACTACATTCATTGCATAGCTTAATATTAATAAAGTTTAAAGGAATTTTCAAAAGCTCATTGAAGAGTATATCTTCTTGTAGCTTTGGTAGAATAATGACTGTTGTTGTCTTGTGCTGCTTGGCCATCATTATTTGTTCTTTCATGTGTTCAATCTATGATTATCAAAGTCTATCTAGCCTATAGACATATTTATTTACTCCAGCATACAATTATAAATTGTTGACAAAGTCAGTGGAAAAACAATTGAGACATACAATTATATAATATGGACTGACCTTGAGGGAGATACAACATATATTTCCCAAACTAGACTCATATTGCCTCGAGTCAAAGACGAGGGCAAAATAGGTCTTGTGAGGGCAATATATGTGGTATCTCCCAAAAGTTAAGCCAGTCAGTATTATTATTGTTATCCAAATCAGACATTTAGAGCAAATACATGAATCAACCATGACAATCTCACATAGAAATGTCAAACCAGCACTGTGCATCCAGTACTTGAATTTGTTGTTGATACACTGGAAACAGTGTACCATTTGATGTGATTATTACGTCACACTAGAGCGCGCGCAAAGTGTGCAGGTTCTCATACGCATAATAGATGCGCAATGAAAATGACAAAGTACGGCGCGGTGAATATGAGACTTTATTTCCTGTTTTTTAACACGTAAAGCTCATAGGCTTTATCATGAAAGGTGAATATGGTCCTATATTCACTGATTAGCCCTTTTGAGGATTACAAACAAGTGTAATATGATTTTGTAAAACCACTGCTCAGATGTCTGATACGGGTAATAATATGATATATCAAGAACCTGTGTGGTAACTTTCTTTTTGTTTATTGTTTCCATTGCAGCCTGAGGGAAGTCTGATTGTGGATCGATTCAACAATCTTCAGAAGAGAAACATGATAGAACCAAGGATATGGAAAAAGTAAGTCAATGATGCATGCAGCATTTCATGCTATGATTAAACATTATTCCCATGTGTAATGGACTGTAAGGTAATCTAGCAAACAGCAACTCAGTGAGTTTTATTTTTATTTTCAAATGATATGATTTGAAGTAAACCTAATTACCATTTTCAGTGTATTTCTAACTGATGGGTAATGAATAAAAAAAGATACACAGAAGATTCAGTTGGATATGTCTCATAACATAAAAATTAGCAAAACAAAATGCAATAATTTTTTAACACATTTCAAAAAATGTATTCACAATAAAACTGCCTTCTTTTTCACTTGAAAATGTTATGCCGTACTATTTTTGTGAAATATATTACATGTTTTTCCACAAATGTTGGCAATGAACACTTTGGTACTGAAAGTGTTATCTGAAATAATGGGATAACAAAAGCAGGAGTAAGGACTTAACTACAGGTTTATATGTTCATGCTTTTTATAAGCTCTAGCTCTTGGTTGATTAACCTTTTCTGTTATATTTTTATTTCTTCATTTAACAGAGGCATGAAACCCAAGATGAAGGAGTACGAGAAAAAGACTTTCAAGGAAATCAAGTGAGTGTCAAGTCAATACTCAGTGGTGGAATTAAGAGTTTTAATTGAATAATTTTTTTATAAATGAATATTACTGCGGCGTTGATCCACCTTTTACACTAATCACTGATTATCCATTGATTATGAATCGTCATTCAAACCTTCAGCATGGATTAAGCTAGGTTTACCTCTTTTTTTTGTTAGTATTTAAAAAGAGGGTAGAAATTTATATTATGTATTGTCTATGTCAACACAAAACTCATTGCCAGACCAAAGTAAAATAACGGATAAGTGTTTGGACTAAAATAATTACAAAATCAATTTCAGCATAGAACAGTTGCCTCAAGTTTGACTTTTTGACTAAATTTGCATATGTTTGTATATATTTGCTTCTAGGTTAGCAGAATGAACCAGCCCTATTCTCTCAACTGCAGAGAACACAATCTGTACTGAGTTTACCTCCAGCTTCACACCACCCATACGATTGTCATCATTGTCATGTTTAATAGGATCAATACTTTGCAGTTTGGTCTGTTCATCTGTAGTGGACACTAAGAAGATCCCATCTCGAGATCTTGAAACAATTTCTGACCGATATAGTATTAATCCTTGTTCCTGGTACAGATCACTTGAATATGGCAATGCAACTTTTGTGAGGAGTTGAATTGTGTCAAAGCATATATTCTCTGCTTTACTTCGAAGCAACTTTAATATCAAGGATACATTTCACTGTAAACGAGCCATCCTTCTATAGAATACAAATTTCTCAATGTCAGAGAAATCATGGTTATGATTTATTTTTTATTTTTTTATTTTTTTTATTTCATGAATAACAAGGTACTTGTTTTATTTAGTAGAACCGGTATGTTGTTCAAGGGTAAGTTTTAAGCAATTAGAAACATGATGTTTTTACACTCTTATAACCTCTACTGTGCAGTTTAGTGCAATTCTCTACAAAAGGTTGGATTTTAATTGAGGTAATTCTTGTAAGACTTTATATCATGATGATGGACATGCTTGTCAGTGTGTGAATACTGCTTCTTGTGGTGTACACAACTAAACCATGAATATCATTCCTTGTCTCCCGAGATGTCTTTGTAGAAGTTTTTTTTTTTAAAAGCTTTCTAATTATGAAGTATTAAAATGTCAAATCAGCAGGGCCTCTGATTTCAAACATACTATAAGTTGTTTTGATAGCATTATCCTTTATACCACTGCTGCATTGAGTGAAATGTGCCGAATTCTGTAATTAAGTGGGAAGACAATGTAAGTACGACTTTTTTTTAAATAGTGCCTAAATAATGCAATATTTATGATAAAAGAGAAGAATCTAAAAACGAACCAAACAAGTTCATTTATAATTAAATCCTTTCTTCACTTTGTCTGACTGTCTGTGGAGATTTTACAGTGCAGTAACACTGCCCTCTACAGAATAGGCATAGACATTGTATATTTTCATGTATCTAATATAAGCATATGATTTGGTTTTGATACACTATTCATTTTTCTAAGGCTCATTCTCAAGATATTGTAGGCTTAGCATTTAAAAGGTTTTTTAATATTTTTTTTTTTTATTCATTTCAATCTTCTTGTTGTCATTTCATGTAATATGTTGATGTACATGCATCATACAAGTCAGTTGGTTCAATGGTTACTGCTTCTAGTTTCCATGTGATGATTGTCCCTTCAGTATTCTTTATATTTCATGTTGTCTTTTAACTACCAAATCTACTGATTGGCACAGTTGATATTCAAGCATTTATTTCTTAATTCTATAGCGCCTTGTGAATAATATTCCTATATGTGATAATTCGCTTCTTGGGCTAAGATTCAAATCTACCATTTATCAAATTATGCACCAGTAATGTGTGATATTTAACCACAATATCATATAAAATAATTTGAAATCAGAGAACAATCTTCAACTTTCCAACACAATAAATGACATGAGGACAAGATAGTGGAGAAGATTATTTGAAGACCTGTGTATAACTGTCCTATCCTGTGTATTATTGTTGAGTATATCCTATTCCTGTAGTGGTTCCCATCTAAACTCCCGACTTGTGAGAAGATAAAAACCATTTAAGGACTGTGAAGTGAAGATGCTGATACACTGTATTACCAGTATATAAGATAAAGTCATTGCTAAATGTTCATACAAGCCTAGGGGGCCTTGAATCCAGTCAGGAGCTGGTACTAAACTGCTTTAGTACACATGCCTCATCTATCCTTCATTTAGTATTTGACATCTTATTGTTTGTCAATGTTAATAATGTATGCATGCATTATTATTAATGTGCATGGTATAATACCCTTATTATACAATTACCCTCATTATACAATTGCGTATCTGAGAATTACTGTGTATAGTAAACTTATTAAACAAAAACACACATTACATTTATGACTTGAGTATGTGCATTTCTGTGTAGAAAGTGCTAGGTAATTTTAATGTTTTGGTAACTACATCGATGAGAGAGAGAGAGAGAGAGAGAGAGCGGGCGGGAGAAAGAGAGAGGGTGGGGGAGAGAGAGAGAGAGAGAGAGAGAAGGAGGGAGAGAGAGAAAGAGGGAGGGAGTGGTATAAAGGCAGTGCTGGTGTTCGTCAAGGTCATGGGTTTCCTGATTTTCTAATTATTTTTTTTCTTCGAATTACTCTGCACCGAATCATTCTTCTTCAGTTAACTTAGAAAGCAAAGGAGTGGAAAACAGAGCTATGTGTTATCTCTCCGACATGACAAGGTTTTCTCTATTTAAAAAATAAAAAGAGAAAATTTAGAAATGTTCCATTACTTCTACATTTACCCACACTGTGTACTACTTTAAGGAAGACATGTGTGTATGATAATAATTGGCAAATATCCCCGCAAGGTCGACGCTATAACAATATGAAAATAAAATTGAAACATATTAAAAGAACTGTACGGAATTCCGAGTTCAGCACGACTTGATCCTGGGTATCAATTAAATAGAATATATCCAATGTAGCTTCTATTATTGATAAAGGAGCTGTCACGGGATAAAGTCCATCTGGTCCTGAATTTTGCGTAAGATTTGAAAGATAAATATATGTACAGTATAGTTATTGTTACTTATAAGAAAGGATATTATCCAAACCATTATTGACTGTGGGATGCGGTCAGTAAATCAACACGCACATCATACATCTATTATGAGTGAGTTGGTTTGATGAAAGACTGAAAAGCTTGTACAGCAAAGAAAAGAAAGACTGAAGAAAAAACGTTGGTCAAAATCTCATCTATGTATAGTTACAAAGTAACTGTTTACCAGAAATATCACCACATATTTGCCCGATAAACATTGAACATGCATAATTTTATTAACTGTTGTTACAATGTGGTTAATCATTACAATATATATGACTACACTCGGTCAAGTAACGATACGTTGGGTTTTATCGTAATAGCTTGCAGGAAATTCCAGGTATTGAAATTAAAATTTATTTTCTACTACGTATACGCATAAATTATCAATAATTTATACGTATAATGCTTTGAGTACATCTAGGTCTTCATTTGAGAGAAAAAACGGTTTCCATCATCAATGTAATCATTTTCCTTGGAAATGCTGTATAGTCACTTGACTTTTATTTGTCCATAATCATTATTTCAACATTATTGTTGTTTTAATTAACACCATATTGTCATCATTACAAGCAAGGCAATATCACTTACTTTCTCTATTTCTCTCATTCTCTCTCTCCATATCTTTATCTTCTTTGTCGTTCTTCGTCGTCATTGTATTGTGTCGCTTTTGTCGTTTTTTCTTTCTCTCTTTTTTCTCACTAGCCTTCTCTCTCCCTCTCTCCCTCTCTCTCTCTCTCTCTCTCTGTCTTTTCCTAGCACACTTTCTTCATTTACCTCATTTACCAAAATAATTTGTAATGTTAAGTGTGCATGCACACTGTCTTCGTCTTTTTCCTCCTTCATATTACTAAAACCCATTCGTTAGTGGCCTCATTTCGTCTTCATCAGAATGCTAAGGAAAGTAAAAGGAATAGATAAAATCTTAATTATCTTTTGTTTTAATCGCATGAAGTAAAAAATTGCAAGCTTGCAAATGGACCACAACTTGTAATGTTTTCCCATAGATTGGTTTGATTAGTATTATACTTGGAGGCATACAATCTTAATGACAAAACACCTGCCAACCAAAGAAACGTGAAAGGCCGATCAAACTCTTGATACAAGTTCAAACTAATGGATGTTTTGTTTTTCAAGGCTATAAAAAGTAGTACGCTTAAATATTTGTACAGATCAAGACACTGTTTCTCGTCTCCCCCTCAAATTCCTTCCTGTCTTGTTGAAGATGTCCATCCCGTAAATTGGAATATTGCCCATGGAGGAATAGTAGATTAAGTAAGACAGCGGCTCGGCCTTCGGGCCACAGTGGCGGGTAGATGATGGTGTATAGCCGGAGAGCTCTCCGACTGAGACACTTCGTAATGTGCGTTTCACAGTGAGAGGCTATGATCGTAGAGATAAGTGAACTAAAGTGCATGTTAGAGATTGGTGTGAAGAGTTGAGATGGTTGGACGAGTATGGCTCGAAGAGACAGGAAGAATAGATAGAAATAATATTTGACAGGTGATTGAGCTAATAATAGATAACAGAGAGTCGATTAGAACGCTAAGCTGATAATCGAAACTGCGATTGCAGAAATGTATGCAATATAAAAATTGTCTAGAAAGGCATATACACTTTGAATGAGATAATTATGAATCAAGCAGGTAAATAGTAAATCGAATAGTTAATTACAATTCGTAATAATATTTAATAAGTTAGAAGATATGATAATAATGAAGACTATTCTCTGTTAACGGGGCCTCCTGCATCTACTGCTGCTACTATTCAATTCATTTCAGTAATATCTTGCTCGGCTGGGTAAGATATTGGAAAATGAGACGAGAGAAAAAGTAGGAGAGGGAAATGGAAAATGAGAGGGGAAAAAAACGAAGAAACTTTAAAAAAAAAGAAAGACAAAAGGGGCTAGGCAGGAATATGAGACGACCAATTAAGATAAGAAGCTAATTGTTTCCAATGCAGTATAGTAGTATACGATGAAGAGAGTCAAGTACATTAAATCAGTTATCACTGATGCACGCTTTATTCACGTTGTTCAAGTATTTCTGTCTAAAATAATATTTATAGAGATGTTGAAATTTAAAAGAAAAGAAACTTCTGCCTGGAGTCTCAAAGGAAATTGAAAGTCCGTCAAGTTGTTTCATAATGCATGCATGTTTTTCTCTCACATGGCATCAAAGAAGGATGTGTGATTAATTTGATGGGAACGTTACAAACAGGTACATCGAATTGCCCAGATTGCGTGTTTATATAGATCAGAGTACGGTCCTGAAATGAAATTAACCGTTGCTCTCTAACTTATCTTCCATCGCGAAGAGAGCTATCTAAAAATAGCACAGGATTGTACAGAGCAGAAGTAGACAGGCTTCGGTAATCAAAAGATGGAATCATAATTCTGATTGTCGATGATATGAAATGAGAAAAGAAACTATCTTCATCCCGACGAAGTGTTAGAGAGAGAGAGAGAGAGAGAGAGAGAGAGAGAGATGTGAGAGGGATTGAGAGGGAAGAGGGAGAAAGAAAGAGAGAGAGAGAGAGAGAGAGAAAGAAAGAGAGCGAGAGAGAGAGAAAGAAAGAGGGAGGGAGAAAGTTATACTTATTGATAAAGAAGTGGAAAGAGATGACAGAAAGGGTCTCGTAGCGAGTAATTTTATCAATGAGCAATTTTCTAAGCATTGTACGACGACGGGAACACGACAATGTGAAGTAAATATTGCGATGCGCTGCATACTCGACCAATATCAACAATAATTATTTGCAAAGGAGAAGAAAGCAGAGGAAGTTATGTGATGTCATCCAAGGGTAGTATAACATAAGGAAATGATAAAGACACTCGAAAGTGTCGCCGGGGAAAGTCAAATAGAAAATTTGTCGGTATATTGAAAAATGATTGAATTTGGGATTTGTAAAGCTAATTCCCCTTCTTGCTAAGAGGAGGAGACATGCTTGCATCATGTCATCAAACATCTAGCTCTGATATTTGATGTAGAGGGATACAGGCTTCTAGATTCTTGCTCAATGATTATTTTCCTACGTACGTACGAATTTCATTTATTAAAAGGAAGTATTTAACTGTTCGAACAAAATGCAATATAAGTATCAAACAAAATTAATATAAGATAAAACCGAATAGGAAAGTGATATAAAGAAATAACGGTCATAAAAAGAAATTCGAATAATATGGAAAGGGATGGAGAAAAAGGGAAAAGAAATAGATTAGAGAAAGAGAGAAAGATAAAGAAAGAGAGAGAGAGAGAGATAGAGAGAGAGGTGGGGGGAGGCAGTGAGATACAAAAACTTGACAATAATCAAGAAAAACTCATTGTAAATATTTTGATCTATAGAAAATTATTCAATTTATTTGGAATCAACATGTTTGCAACTTTCACCCATTTCGTTATTATAAATCAGGCATTGTTAAGTTACGAGTTAAATTATTGATTTAATTGCTGGCATAAATATTTCATCAATGACATATACATTCAACATGGAAAGAGAATCAGTTCGACGCTTTGAAATGAAACTCTTTAACAGACCAATATACATTGTATTAAGCAGTCGGTCAGAAAATCATGTCATAAACTAACCCTGTTCATTTAGCATGTTTATTGATATGTTTCTTCTATGAACTATTACAAGGAAGGAGTATTTAGGATGCATCATCAGTAAGCATTATTAAGACACTACTGAAATATAATTGTAGGGCATTTTTAACATCCATGTCCATCACCTACTTAATTGTGCAAATAATAATGACGATGAAGTATTACGTAATTCGAACACGATTTAGAGTTGATATCTTCTTTCTGGTTGTGTTAAGTGTAGAGAAAAGTTATTTAATTGTTCTAAAGCTCAATCTTCTGATTATGTCAGCTCGCCCTTTATGAGCTCTTTATGGACCTTTAGATTAGGAAATTATGCTTTTACATTTTTCTTTCTACTCGTAATGTCACTTTCGCTTTAACATGTGTATGGGCATGTCTTTGATGACTATTCTGATGTAAGTGAAACTGGCTATGAATCTGCGAGATAGAGGAGGAGTATTGTCACCTGATTACTTGGCTATTATGAGCCGAGATGATGATGATGATGATGAGCGGGGTTCGTAGAGTGATGCTATGCGATGCGAGAAGGTCGAGAGAAAGACAGTATTCAACCCGATGAGGTCCACATTGAGTATTGAATAGACAAGGGTGTTGGTGCCTGGAGCAAGATGGGTACAATGCATCAATTATTGGAATTTGATTTGGAGAAGACGGTACGATGTAACAAGCTGTGCAGCTAAGAGGAGAAGAATGGGAAGAAGATGGAACGAAAGATTGAATTGGCAAATGAAAAGAAACTGTTTCTACAATGGACGGGGTTTATAACACCGTCGAAGGGGATCATGAGAGATAGTTCAGTCTATGAGGGTTACAGAGAATGATGATGATGTTGCTACAGTGGTCATGTGGTAATGTTGATAAGGTTGATATAGGGGATGGAAATGATGGTGGTGGTGGTGGTAGTGGTAGCGGTGGTGGTGATGATGGTGAAGATAGCGCCTTCAAGCAAGCAGTGAAGATGTCGAATTCGAGAATGTAGTGTAGCATAGGACATGGATCACTGAGGGGTGTGTGTGTGTGGGGGGGGGGACTGGCCGTAATTGGCAGAGGTGGATGGGGAGAGGCACAAGTCTTCCTCGATGGACATGGTGGATGAAATATGAGGGAGCAAAGCGACCAGGGTGGGGATTGGTCCTATAATATTTTATCACGTTCGTTTAACCCTCTTCATTTTTTAAAAATAGTTATTTCCCGTCCTTTTTTCGATTCCCTATATTTTTGTGTGTGATATAAGATTTAGTTGGGGTGCTCACATTGCTAGTGTCAAAGTCGGGGTTTGCATTATTATCTATTTTTGTATTGCTCTTTATAGTTTTTTTTATATCCACTTTAATCGACATCAAAACAAAATAATCATATTGGACATAGGTTCATAAAAGAAGTATGGTTGTGACTTCTCCTCGACTTATCCAATATAAATCAAAATGGCACTGCAGCTTTGTATGTAAGCGGTTAACAAAACGTAGATGAAAATGTCTTTCTAATGTCAAAGGGGTTATAAGTGCTGCAGTTATTTAGATGCTAAATTCTCTCTTGCTATGATGACTTGTCTTCTGCATGTTCTATTGTTATGGTAACGGTGATCAGTGGTTGCATGTTTCCTATACCATTGTTATTGCTTCCTCACTAGAGATCTTTCTAACCCATGTGCTGTCGCATTGATCTTCTTCTATATTTCCCGCGCTGTAATTCACCCGCTTGGCTGAGTCTTGAATGCCATCTCGACTGCACCGTATTTTCTCCCTCAGCGCGCGCTCTCCAATCTATAATATCCCCTGAATAAAACCGATACTTTACACCTCATTTAACACCAAAGAACACTCCACGCGTCATGCAGAGTCCCTTCTTCCTCCTCCTCCTCCTCCTCCCGATACCTCTCATCTTGCTACCAAGTATTGTCAATAGCGTCGGTAATTGCAGCCCCAAACACCAACATAATTTGTTAAGATGTCAAAGCCAGTTCTCTCATCGGTTCGGACGATCAGAGTGAGATTGTGTACAGCATACAGGCAGAGAGCAGACCTCTTGGCCATCAGTGATCGTCAAATACAATTAACCACTTTTCAATCCAAGAAGGGAATTTCATCCCCAATTGTAATAGTCACGCACGAGATTTCACCCTCGATGCTCACACTCTAACTACAAGAACTTACCATCATAGATTTGAAGTATCAATGCGATAATATACGAACACATGATGAAAAGAAGTCTTGCACATGCGATTAAAAGAGAGAGAGGGAGAATCCAAAGAAATCTTCCTCGTTTCTATGCTCCTCGTTTACTCATATCGATACATGTTTATGATTTATTTTCGCTTGACGTTACAAATTGTTATCAAAACTGACAGAAATTCAACGAGTTTTCTCATTTGATAATCTTGTCAAGCGTTAATGCTTGGATGCATAGTCAGTGAGTAGATGATTCTATTAGTAAAATATACCAAGCTCTTATATTTTCACGATAGAGCTAGATCAAAAGAAAGAGCACCTGTGCGTGTGCCCACTCATACACACTACCAATTGTTTCAAATTCCACGTCATTTCGGTACTTCTCGCCTGAAAAGAAAACTCGCAAATTTGATTTATTTGCATGCTAAATTTGAGGTTCTGTTCTGATATTGGAAGAAAGGAAATTATTTACCTCTGACAAGGAAAATACCATCTTTGTAGTAGTGGTTCATGTACTTAGAGGTCTAAAATTATATTGCGATCACAAAGGATCTATCACAGTATCAGCATGGTTTCGATGCTTTCTATATACACACTCAGTGAACAACTAAAACTAAGTTTTACAAAAAGGATACACAGGAGGTATAGATTAAAGAAAAAAAAATCAAAGGTAAAGATTTAATGAGAAATAAGAGAAAAGTCTCGGAATGCTTAGTGAAAGTTTGTAGCAATGATTAAAATCAAAACATTTATTCAAAATTATGATTAATTTCAAAACGATTTGTGCTATTGATATTACACCTATATTGCATTTTGTAACAAAATTGATATTTTGAATGAAATGATCAATCAACAGATGTAATATATATAAATCTAATGGCTTGTGTTACCTTTCAAATACAAAATACCCCGCCCCCGCGCTTGAAGGCCAACGAAAACAAAATCAACTGGTAAACAGTACCCATGTATCTACACCTCTTATAAGGATGTCACCCCGAGACTGGATGCACTACAATAGTATCACATCGACCAGCATCAGATGAAGATGAGCAAGAAAGTGGGAAAGATGCACAAAATACAATTTACAGAAAATTGTTTTCATTTTTAAATGTTCAAAACGAAAAAATGAAGCCTCTCTCTCTATAAATTTATATCTATCTCAACTCTCTCTCTCTCTCTCTCTCTCTATAAATTTCTATCTATCTCAACTCTCTCTCTCTCTCTCTCTCTCTCTATAAATTTATATCTATCTCAACTCTCTCTCTCTCTCTCTCTCTCTCTCTCTCTATTTTTCTCTTCTCTCTCTCTCTCTCTCTCTTTCTCACTCTCTCCCTCTCTCTCTCTCTCTCTCTCTCTCTCACTCTATCTCTCTTTCTTAATCCCCATTCTCTCTATCTTTAATCTGTCTTTTTGTCTTTCCTGTCGCGGAAGGAAGTTTTGCAATATAGCTCTACTTATTTCTCTGTATAAATACTTCCATATTCATTTTTAGTTATGTGGAATACTTGCTCCTTGCCTCAGTGTCCTGTTTATACACACTTATTATGTATGTTTTTTCCACAACACAGTGTAAGTATTATAGTAAATGGAAAATTGAAAAATCTACATCTCACCCCTCGAAATAATTACATCCACAAATTTGCTCACTTTTGAGGCATTGTGGCATTGTGGTCATTTCTTCATTCCAAAATGAAGGTAGAGAGTAGAGTCAAAGATGAATAGTCTTATGATGGGAAATGTCAGTTATCGTAACCCTTGGACTCAGATGCTATTACATTTCAGTTTACATACAGCGCCTTTTCAATTCTGTATTTGAAAAGTAAAGAATAAATAAACTTTACTCAATTACAGGTATTCCCTGTAGAGGGTATGTGAATAGGTTAGGTGAGCAAAAAATGAGAGAAAAAAATGAGACAAAGACAGACGTGGGAGAGATAGTGAAGAGAGCACAAATGAGATAAGAGAAAGAGAGAGAGAGAGAGAGAGGGAGAGAGAGAGAGAGAGAGAGAGAGGGGGGGAGAGAAAGAGAGAAAGAGAGAAAGAGAGAGAGATAGAGAGAAAGAGAGAGAGAGAGAGAGAGATAGATATGCAAGAACTATGCTCTAGATTTAGTAAAAACCAACAACAACAATGTACTAATAGGAAAGCTAAAATATTAACAATGATAATCATTATAAAGCAAGATAGTTCAAGTATAATCGAAATGCATCTACGATGATATTGCTGCTGATGATGATAACAGTGATGAAGAAGATGATGATAACATCGATTGAGAAGATGATAGTGATGTAATAGCGATGTCATAGTGAAAATAGTGAAAATGTCAAGAAAGTGAAAACATACATGAAAAGGGAAATGATACCCTTTTATCTTCGCGTGTCAATATTTCTCTTTTTGTCCATGATCATTCCTATGTATAAGTGTTTGGGAATTACTATCGACTGAGGAAGTTACACGGATATGTCATGTAATATGAAGTGGGTGTGTAAACTCCTCTGATAGACACATGTCAATCAAGAACAAATCACGTGATCGAAATGGTCGCCTAGCTTATGAACCTTGGGCTATTGTTACCCCCAATATCATACATGTTCAGCGACTGAACGGAACAATAGCAGACAAGTTGTTATTAAACCAATAAACTGTGTTTTAAATAGAAGCTGATTTGATGATTATTGATAGTCTTCATGCACCCTTCACCGATCACGATCGTTCATGTATTGATTGGAGACCAAGGGCATGGTATCGGCGAGAATAATTGAACTAAAGAATAATTGATGACACTACTAACGAATGACACGCCAGCAGCAGTCACCTACGATTCGCTTTAAAACGGCGCCTTTCTCACGGCGAGCCTCTTATCTCGTCAGTTCGCTCACTCGTCGCTTTGATGGTCAGGTACAGCTTCAGAGGAGACCGGTGAGAGGTGCTCAAGACATCGTAGCTTCATGGAAGCTGAAAGAAAAGTAACAGCAAGCAAGCGGTGGTAGACAGAATTTATCAACGAGCATTGGAAGTGAACACTAAATCTGAAATATTAGATTGAAATTAATAAGGAGGGTCGAAAATGATGAGTTCATCGAAATAAAACAGTGTTTTCCATAAATTCACCTCTGACTGTAACTTATGGCATAAACTGATACGAATCTAGGTACATGCAAGGGATTCTGTGTAATTTATAATTGTTAATTAGGAACTTTCCTTTTTGATATTTTGAGATTGAGTTCCACTATGCATAACCTGGAGCTACAGCTAGATCTGCCATACCAGTCTATCGCGTTGCAAGGTAAGTTAAATTCTTATATATTACAACGTTAATAAGTCGAGGTTTTGAGCTCGCTTATATCAGTGAAATACAATTATAATAAACGTTATTTGAAGCATATAAAATTATAAATATTTATTCATCTGAAGTTGAAACGAAGGCATAATCGATTGCAATAATGATTATTCTCATGATGAAAAACAATTTTGCCTGATAAGCATACATTTAAATATATTATAGGAATCGACATACTATTAATAATAACTCATTATAAAAACAGACGATTGATTTCCGAGATATGAAACGAAAAAAAAGAAGGCAAATAAAAAAATAAAAAAATCCATGTCTAAAGCATGCAGAAATAAATTGAGATATTCCCTAGTCTTCACAAAGCAAGATAGAACAAAATTACAAACAATATATTTTTTAACCGCGAATTAATATGTTAGCCCATTTAAATTATTACCTTTCAAACTCACCAGATATACATAACACTTATTTTGATATCACGAGTTCTGATTAAGTTTGGATTATCTAAATTAAGCGGGAAATTTTCAAGATAAGTTACTTTAAAAAAAAAACATAGCTTCGCAGAGCAAACGGTTTTAATATTAATAAAAGTGCAGTCAATATGCATTTTCCTCTTAAATACTGATGGATATCATTAAAGAACCTAATGTTTTTTTTTACTATACCTTTCTGTCATTTGAAGAAATGTTAAAATATTGAGAGAAAATCTATTAATAGCGGTATTGAAGTTAGTTTGAAATTCCCCGAAACAAGAATACGAAATATTATGCTTCAGAGCAGAGTTCTAACACTTCTATACATGAAATATATATATATAGAATGTTGAGACTCATGGTTATTTTATATCAACATTTTCAGTCCATTGAAAATATATGATTCTGTATAATTGACAATATTGTAATTTTGTAATATTGACGTGTGTTCTGAAAGCGAAGTTTCAAGGAAAAGAAATTCAGGAACATACATAATATTTTTAAAAAGATGTAGCTGTCACAACGAAACAAAATGGTTGGAAATACACTTAATTAAAAGCAAATATATATGTATAATATATATCTTTAAATAGATTCTTCATTACTTTTTCATCATAATCATTTCCATGTGCGGAAATTAAAATAATATCTCCCTAACTTATCTTTTTTAGGTATCCATATCCCCTTTTTGAATCGGTACCGGAAAGGAAGCTAGCTGAGACTAAATATTGTTCTCCGCTCTACAAGCTTTCCAATCATTGTGAACATGCTGTCGTTTCATAAAACATTAAACCAAACACGTGCAATGTCATGCTTTTAAATCTCATGTTAAGTTATTTAGCTATTCTTAATACAATCTCGTATGCCTTCGATGTATATGATGCCAGCTCCTGTACTGTTCTGAGTTTTTACTTTACTTTTATGCGGGATATTGGCCCCTCAGTTCCCCTTTAAAATCCCCTTTAAAACATTAAATCATTAATTTGTTTACTGATCAGGAGGGTAGTCCTTTCACGAATATACATGTACCTGCAGATGTAAGGGTTATCATGTTCGATCTAAAAATGGTATAACCTTTGAAGAAAAAAACTTTAATAAATATAATTAGCAGTACAAATATAAAAGATGCAAAAGCATGTTGCCAATTACAATTTTCAGAATTGTTTGTGAACAGTGGTTTAACGCCCCGGGGGTCACTCTCATACACAAATGCTACCCACCCGTGGTGTATCGCATCTTTTCTGAAATGACCCTTCTTTAAGAAAACGTCGGAAACCTGTGAATCTGAAAAGGTACCCCTTTTTTGGATTGTGTGCGATCAGTGGTTGAAAAACACCTTTTTTGTAGGAAAACGTTGACGGCGCCGAACCTGTAATCTTTAAAAAGTACCCTTTTTTGTTTTTTGTGCGATCAGTGCTTGAAAAACACACATGAAGGAAAACGTCAACGCCGCCGTATAGCTGAAAATGACACCCTTTCATCGCTTTTTCTGGACGCGGGTGCGTAGCCAGTCAGTCATGTTGGGAGTGACCCCCTGGGGTTTAACGTGGGTCTACAGATTGAGGGAGCACAGACACCGGTCTCACCAGGTAGATGAGATGTAGATTAACAACGTTAAAAAGTAATGGGATTGTCGTGGTCGAGTGGTTTAAGGCGCTTGACTTGGAGATGCGAAGGTCGACGGTTCGAATCCCGACACGGCACTACTATCCTTTGGCAAGATATTAACCTGCACTTGCCACTCTCCACCCATGTGTTAAATGGGTACCCGGTAGGATGCAACCGTCATTGTTGGTCAAACAGGTTTAGAGCGTCATGTAACGCCTGGCTGTAATGCTCCCCAGGGAGTGAAGATTGTACACACATTGTGTGCGGGCAAGCACTGAATCCAATGATCGGGGTAATAGTATTTCTGTAAAGCGCTTAGAGACATTTGTATTAAGCGCTATATAAAAATTAAATATTTATTTATTTATTTATTATTTATTTATTTATTTATTTGAACAAATTTCATCAGGATAAGAAGATCAGAAAGGACTGGTTTACATCCTGCATGGTCCTGAATATTGAAAGCTTACACTAAAACATCAAAACAAAATAATCAGACATAATGAGAATTGTTAAAATACTCATGAAGTCATGATACAAATATTGAATGACCATAATCTTGAGTAAAAACCAAGTGAAACATACATGATATCTCATTAAATATATAAAAACACAATAATGGAATCAAGTAATCAACTAATCTATTCAAAATAAAAACTCTATCACACTACAAAATGAGCTTATATCATGAAGTATCAAATTAAACTTAAAGCAAAAGGAGCAAAAATAAGGATGATATTATTCATAATTTGCTGAAAAAAGTTTTCTTATACATGTTTTTAAAACAGTCGATGGATTGTGCATTTTGTAGGTTAGAGGGTAAATGATTCCATACTTTGCCGCCTTCGTAACGTAAACTATTCTTGAAAATTTCAATATTAGGCTTGGGCAGGACAACACTCGTTGAGTTAGCCAATCTCGTATTCATTGGATGCCGTTCAAAAACCATGTCAATAGCATTGCACAAACGTAATGGAGCGTAGCCATGGATACATTTATACATTATACAAGCAAGAAAATAGTTCCGTCTTTCTTCCAAAACCTGCCACTTCAATCTTTTAACAATATCAAGACCACTTTCATTAAAATCAAAATTCCGTTCAACTATCCTTGCTGTTCTTTTTTGTAATCTAAAAATAATGTTCTTGTTATATACAGAACAATTCCCCCATATCGAGCATGCATAATCTGATATAGGTTGGATTATACATTTATAAATTTTATTCAACACATTCGTATCGGTGAAATTACTGACCTTTTTCAAAGAAAATATTTCATAAGCTAACGATTTACTGAGCTTCTTTACATGAATATTCCAGGTTAAGTGTTCGTTCAATTCAATTCCTAAGTACCTAATGTTTTTTCTTGTTTGATTTTATTTCCATCCAAAGAAATGTTTAAATCCTGAATAGTTTGTGAGTTGCGTTTCAATAACATACCGTAAGTTTTTAATATCATTATTATTATTCAGATGGGACGGTATCCTTTCGTGGTCCCATTCCCCCTCCATTTCTCTCCTTTTCTCTCAACACCTATTGAAATGTGTATACATTAAAACGACGTCTTAAAACAGGGTATACAATGGGGTATCGATATTCCCCCTTGAATCTTTGCCTCCGTGTTGCATTATCTCATGTAGAGAGAGAGAGAGAGAGAGAGATACGTAAGAACCGATGCGACTGCTCTTTCAAGATGCAGTATAAGGTCTTCGGAGTTGGAGAGCAAACTTATCTATTTAAGCTCATCTTAAATTATTATGAAAATAGAAATGACCATAAAAGATTCACCCTATAATAAGGGGGAATGTTTATATTTCCTTTTTTGTTTTTGATGAAGCTCCAGATAAACGGAAAAGTTATCCAAAACAAAAATACCCCTCGCAACACGGTATCAGATAGCTTTATATGCAAGTTTCTCAAAAAATGATATTTTAAAACTTGCAAATTTAGACAAAGCCACGCGGCGTAATCGAGATACCTAAAAATAATATTCTGCTTTTTAATTCTTTGAAGGTCTTTAAAATCATTGGGTAAATTCATCTACATTACAGTTCAGAAAGTAAATGGATATCTCAAGCTGTCGAAAAGTTGAACAACACGTACATGCACCAGTCTACAATTTTCTGTCACAGCATTTTTCTTGAATAAGTAACCCTAAATATGAGCTTGATGAAGCCTTTTTTTAATTTTATGTAAAATGCATAAAATACATTGTAAGAAAACAAAAAAAAACGTGTAATTGTTGTTAATGCATGCTATTTTTCAACAGTTTGAAAGTAGAGTACAAATATTAGCTTCTTATATAGCTCCCATGTCAACCATTATAGGCACTTGCTATCCTGTCATTGTAGTTACTGATCGCGCAAATAATATACAGTTGTAGGAAAACGCTAGCCAATACAAATGTTATCGATGGCTCTTTCAGTTACAATACATACACTTTTGCATTTTTTAATCTTTTAAAATGACAACGTTTTCGGGTTCGGGAGGCGCAATGTCAAACTCTGCTACTTTTCCTCAACTTGAACTTCCAAATGCCTAATATCCACTTAAAGTATTGCATACCAATAATTACCAAAAAATTACTACATTTTTCTACTTTAGACTTTAAAATTGCCCAGTATTAAACTTTTTGAAATACATGTCATGTTGAATAATAACAAATTGTTTAGTTTTCTAGCAGGTAAAAGCCAATGACAAGGAAATATGGGAGGGGTTCTGATCATAGCCCCCCCCCCCCCCCCGCTCGCTAAAAGGTGTCATTTCATTTTCAACAAAAGCACCACCTTATCATGCAGTGGCGTATCCAAGCCTCACTTGGGATAACAATCAAATTCCAATGAAGGTGCCCAGATACACAAAGCCCCATCCCCACTCTGGATAGGATTCATCATAACGATCATTACCGAGA